CTATCTCTATTTTTTCTATGTGTTATCTCTCTCTCTCTTCCTTTCTCTCTCTCTCTCTACCTACCAACCAACCATCAGCAGCAGTTGAGATCAAAATTTCTGTTGCTAAGTGAGACATTGGTTAAGTGAGTTTTGCTCCCTGTAATGACCTTTCTTGCCACAATTGTTAAGTGAATTGTCATTCATTTAGCCACATGGTCCTTTGATGAGGCTGGCTTTCCCCAGAAGGTCCCAGGGGGAATAACGTGACCTTGGAACACTGAGACCGTCATAAGCACGAGTCAGTTGCCAAGCCTCTGAATTTTGTTCAGGTGACCAAGGGGTCATAGGTGGGCAAAAAGGTCGTAAGTCGCTTTTTTCCCCAGTACCCTTGTAACTCTGAATGGTCACTAAACATACTGTTATAAGTCGAGGACTATCTGTGTAGCCGGCCGACTCACCTGCAGGGTTTTTATTTTCCGACAGGTTTTTGGGGGAGGCCCATGTGCCCCTCCGGGATGTCTTGGCCTCCCCCAATCTGGCTGCCAGCTTCAATGCCCCTCTGCTGGATGCCAAGAGGCAGAACACAGGGGTAAGTCCACTTTGGGGGCGACGGGGGTGCGGGAGTGGGGCTCTCCTGGCCCATGGTGGGAAGGCAAAGCATGTCTTAAATGCAGAGGTTGTTTTAAGGGTCAAGGGATGTCCAACCTTGGCAACTTTAAGACTTCATAAATACATGTCCTGTTCTGACCAAGGCTTCCCAAGACCGTAATTAAGCACACGCTTAGTTAAAACAACTCTTGTTTTATTTCAACGCTGGGAATTATGTTTATTCCCAGCCTGTAATGAGTCCCAAGCAGTCCCTTGAGATAAGCACCCACCTTTCTCTCCTTTGAAGTACTGCCAACAACTAAAGTGCCAAATGAACTATAAAAAACCAACCGAAGTACAAAGTCCACACAGAGCTTCAAGGGTTAATCCAAACAGAGCGAACAACATTGCTTCCTGCAAAGGTTCCTGTCCCTTTGCACTTTCTTTATATCTTATGGGAGAGACAAGCACCTCCAAGCCTTACTCCTGAGTCACCCCTTCTGCTTCAGCTGCCCTCGCCTTCTAGCAGCTCTGCGCACACGCAAACTAGGAACAGGCTCCCCTGGGTCCTCTGCTTCACTGCTGCCAGACTCCGAAGGCTCCCAAGGTAGCACCCCACTCTCAGATGGTCCTGGTCCCCTCCCTGCATTGGATGCAGGACCCTCGTCCAAGTCCTCTCCAGACTCCCTGACTGGTTCTCTTTCATCCTCACTGTCTGATACCTCTGCCGTCTGCACTAGATGCTGGCGAACTGCAACACATCCAACCCCTTTCATTTCATGCCCTTCATCCAAACTCTTCTATTTTGCAGGGGTGTCTGATCCTCCAAGTCTCCTACACTCCACCCCCGGGGGCAGCTCCTTTCATCCCTCCTCCGGCCCCTCCGGAGCCAAATCCAACTCTCCCTGAGCTGGACACGGTGACAGGTAAGGAGGCGAACCATCCCGGCGTAACTCCATCTCAGGGCGGACCTGCCAAATAGAAGGACAGGGTTGGAAGGGACCTCAGAGGTCTTCTAGTCCAGCCTCCTGCTCAGGCAGGAAACCCTAAACCAGGGGTGTCAAACGGGATTGCATTGAGGGCCGCATTAGGGTTGGGTTGACTTTGGGGGGGGGCAGAGTGGGCATGGACAGAGTGGAGGGTGTTGCCAACATGACATCACTCATATTGGTGGTTCCTGTGGTGGCCCGAGCGCTCAGCCAGTGAAAACGGGCTCCCAAACTCTGTTTCCAGCTGCGATGGTCCCCTGCAACCCTCTGCCAGCGAAAACGGAGCTTGGGAGAGCCGTAAGCGGCCCTCCCAATGTTATGACTCCCCTTCGAAATTTAAACGAACAAAACAGAAAGCAGCCGTTTCACAATTAAATCAAATGGAAAGAAGTCTTACAAGATAACGGCTGGCAGAAACCACAGCATAAATCTTTACTCTGTCCGGCAAACCAGTCCTGGCAATAAATCTCCAGCCTCAGAGCTCTTTGCTGTAACGTCCTCACTCAAATAGTCATTTTGTTCCTGGCAAAATGTACCAGCCCAGCTGTGTCCTTTTATACTCATTGTGGCAACGTGCTAATTTACTGACTTGCTCTTCTCATTCGCTCCAGCTGATTTTGCCTTCTCAACCGTCTTCTATTTTTTTACATTTAACCACAAATTTTCCAAGTTCTCATCTCCACTAGAAGACTCTCTCAAAACTTCCCTGTCAGCCATTCCCGGCTGTTGATCAGATAAGGAACCAGAGGAGGTCAAAGGTCCTGACAATTCTAATACATCAGGTCTGTCGTCCTTTGTCACGTCCATTTCCTCATCCTGGTTATCAGTCCAATCAGTAAGCCAGGCCGGCTCATATTTTTCTGCCATGACCTCTTCACTTGAACTCATATCAATCACAGGAGCTGAATCCAAGCCCGGAGCCACAACATCCCGATCTCTGTTTTCACTGGCAGAGGCACCGCGGGCTGGTCCCTCGCTGTTTCTAGGGCAGCGGGCCTGATCTAAGCACCTTGAGTTTGACACCCCTGCCCTAAACCATTCCGGACAAATGCTGTCCAATATCATTTTTAAAAACCTCCAGTATTGGAGCACCCACAACTTCTGGTTTCTGTTTCCCCGGTTGATGGTTCTCACTATTAGGAAATGTCTCCTTAGTTCTAGGTTGCTTCTCTCCTGGATTAGTTTCCACCTGTCGTTTCTTGTCCTGCCTTTGAAGTGCTTTGGAGAATAGCTTGACTCCCTCTTCTTTGTGGGCAGCCCCTCTGAGATATTGGAACACCGCTATCATGTCTCCCCTACTCTTTCTTTTCATTAAACTAGACATACCCAGTTTCTGCAGCCGTTCTTCCTACGTTGCAGTTTTTGGTGTGCTATGGGGTGTGCGCGTGCATGTGCATGCGTATTTCTTAGCTTTAGCAAACCGAGGTTCCAAGTTCTGGCCTTGGTGAGAGTTTCCCAGGAAGCTGAAATGTGGTGGCACTTACAGAATAATGGATGAAGTCCACCCTTAGTTTAAGGTTCAGGAAAATTGGGTGAATTGCAAACCCCTTCCGAGGTTAACTAGGAGTCACAGAATAACAGAGCTGGAAGGGACCTTGGAGGTCTTCTAGTCCAACCCGCTGCTTGAGCAGGAGACCCTATTCCATTTCAGACAAGTCATGTCTCCCCTAGTCCTCCTTTTCATTAGACTAGACATACCCAATTCCTGCAACCGTTCTTCACGTGTTTTATCCTCCGGCCCCCTAATTATCTTTGTTGCTCTTCTCTGCCCTCTTTCCAGAGTCTCAACATCTTTTTTTAACTTCTTGGTAACCAGAATAAAGCCATTGTTTCCCCCCTTTTGATTCTGAATGTTCTTCTATGGTTTATGCTTTGTAATGCATCCTACTTGGAAGGCCAGTACAGACCAGGAGCTGAGCCATGAAACTGTGAAGGGATCATTTCATGGACAAGTTGATGGAGGGATTTGTGTGTGTGTGCGTGTTGTCACTGCTTTCCTGCAGCCAGGCTGGCAATGCCTATTAGTGTTGCTGACCTTTTTGGAGATCAGTTCATTTGCTCGGTTCAGATCTCCAAAAAGGTCAGCGACACCACAAGGCGTTGACCTTTTTGGAGATCTGAACTGGGCAAATGAACTGAAGGGAAGCAAAGTCCAAAAAGAATTTGAGCTAAGGTTCCATTGTGACTAACATCCAGTGATGGATCTGTTTTCATTGATCAGAATATCAGAATAACAGAACGACAGAATGACAGAACAACAGAATAGCAGAATAACAGAGTAACAGG